TCAGTGTCAAGTCCTTACTCTCCTAGCTCAGTAGTCATACCATTCCAGTTATGTATTGAAAATAAAATTAACAGAATTGTTTTAAATTATTTGAAAATGCAAATTTACATTCTGCCCAACCTCAGAATTACACCATCCCTATCCGCTATAGGACTGACAGAATATGCAGCATACTGTGGTAGTAAAGCGTTCATTTTGGACACAAACTGCACTTTCCACGTAAAATATTCTTCACGAGCAAAATAAGCTAAATAGGTAGAGGTGCATCTTTTAGTAGTGACTGAACTGTGACTATCAGTCACAAATCACGCTTTCCTACACAGCTGATTGCAAAAGAGGACCTAACAAAAGCCCTTCATCTACATCCTTGTTGACAGGAAGGCAGAGAAAGCAAAATCTTGCCCAAACATACTTAACAGATGCTGGATACCTCTACTTCACTAAACCAAACAAAAATAAGCTGCTATTCAAGCACAGCACAGGCAATGAAATGGGATTTACGTCATACGAGCAGTCTGTCTCAGTAAAGGCCATCTCTGGAGGGAAAAAAAAAGTCAGGCTGGTCTCTATACTAATGCAATCTTTGGCTTCCTGCTGAGACTGTGTGCAAGGGGAGCGTTCAGTGCCGATAGCGACACGCAAAGCCACAAGCTCATTTTATGTAGGCCATAAAGCAGCCTTCACATGTGACTATCACCAGAGCAACAACTTCCACTTACTAGATTGCACTAAGTACACCTCAGCTGAGACCGAGAGTATCTTCTAAATGCAGTGAGGATTTCTTAGAGCTCTGAATTGTGACTATTTTCCCCCAGAGAACAAAGCCAGTCCTAGATTCATTTAAAAATAAATCAGTCAGGCCAGGTGCAGAATTTAGACTAGTTGCAAATAACAACCCTCTAAGATTGTTTATCTTAGCAGACAATTATTCCCTACCTCCTGCTCAAACTCTCACCAGGCACTTCCTCGGTGGAAAAGCAGCATGGTTTTTAACTTGATTAGGTTAAGTACAAATATTACTCCCTAAGCTGGTAACATGCCAGTGCTGAATTTTCAGAGCTGGAAAATAGTACTTGTGCAGATTTGAGAAGATCCAGTACATTTGGTTTTACATATTTACACTAAAAAGGGTATTACCAAAATTGATGTATTGAACATGTCTTCCTTACACTGAGGATCTGAGTTTTAGAAGTTCTGTTTTCTCAAGTGTTAAATGAAATGGATTAACTGAAAATTAGTCTTATGCAACTTAATGAGTTAAAATACCTATTGTTATCTTTAACATGCTGATTCATTACATCTAACAGAGCCTTGTAATCAGCTAATTATCCTCTACTCCATTTGTGGATTTTAAGGTTGATTTGCACTCAGCAAATTACTACAAAATTAAGTGAAAGAGCACCCAAACCTTTTTTTCATATAATCTCCTTGCAGGATAACGAGCACACCTGCACCTACTAATACATCCCTCTGCTCTTCCCTCCCTCAGATAGCCACCTACACAAGAGAAACTTTCTTTCTACTCTGTCCCTTTTTTTTTTGGAAGGACACAAACCAGAATATTTTTACGTTACTGGACTGGTGTTTTTTTCTTCCAGAAGTCTATTACAGGGCTCATTAACAGTTCCCTACCCCGCAAGAGATCAAGCTAAAGAATTTCTACAAATATGCCAGCTTTTCTAAATTATTTAAGCAGTCTTCAGCTGTATAGCCTTCCCATTGTAAGACCTGAAAAGTTTCAGGATTTGTTTGGGTTGTTTGTTTTTTTTAAAATATATTTTATTAAGTATAAGAACTAATCATAAGCATACTATCTTGTATAACATTTCCATGCCTCCCTTTGCATCACACAAGTTAACTACCATCCAGTAATATGAAACAGCTGTCTCGACACTACAGTGTCAGTGATCCACATCCACTTTACACAGGTTGAACTGCTGCAGAGACAGGAGTCTAAGTGGTTTAGAAAAAAAAAACCTATTCAACTCTCAAGGTACAAGCGCTATAGATTACTTCCTAAAGTACTGATTTCTTGATGTATTTGACTGAGAGAAGCCCAGTTTCCTTCAAAAAGAATTCCAGTCATTTTAGCTTTGAAGTACTGAAGGGTAAGGAAGAACAGCGATCACCACTGGTACTTGGGCACAAAGCAGTGCTGCTGCCTCTGGGAGGAGGAAGACAGGGAGGTCTGTGCACTGGGGCAGGAGGGAACAAGCCGGACCTGCCATCCCACGCATCGCCTCTCTCCTAACGCCAGAGATCCCCAAAGCGAGCATCGCTGACGTTGGATATTGAACTTCAGCAAACAAGGGATCCTTATTCCCCACCCAAACATACGCAAGGTGCACGTGATATGTAATTCTGGGGAAACTGAGACTGAGCTTCTGAATGGGAAGCTACAGACACCCAGAACCTGCAGGTTCAGTTTTCCTAAAGCCAAGATAACTGCAGGACTGGGAGAAGACTTTAAAACAAGGGTATTTTCTGTTTTCCAAGTGGGAGACATCCTTCATCTTTTCTATCCAGCCAGAAAGTAAACTGATCCTGTGGCTGGCTTGTTGCCCCTTGCTCCCAGACAGCCGCAGCCCCCACCTCACGCAGCTGGGGAGCCCACCGGTGAGATCCGCCTGCCCAGCGAGGCAGGGTCTCCCAGGGAAAAGAAGGGGCTCACTCCCTATGAAGGAAGGGGGGTGACACAGAGGGACAGGGGACAATTCAGGGAGGCAGTATTCCTCAGATGAAGGTGGCCCTGAAAATCTGACTCACCACAGACATGCACGTGGGCAAAGGGCCCAGTCCAGGGCCAGACTCCCAGCGAGGGCCCTTCCCCACTAAGCCCTGCAGGCTATGCCTCAAAGCGATACAACTCTGCCATAAATATCCCAGATTAATTCCGATCCCAGCATCAAATCCACTTAAGAGACTTAAAAGCCTCCGAGTCCCTGGAGCTGCCTGCCCAAAGAGGGCTCTGCAAACGAGTCTTGGGCTGGAGAGGAGAAACGTTATCAAACAAGGCAAGCCATTTGTACAATTTTTAGTAATGTCGTTTGCAAGAGACAAATGGGACGAGATAGCTGAGTTGACGTCTTGTACTAGAAGCACAGCCACAAGAAATCCTCGGATGCATGGGGTAGGATTTGTGTAACCAACTATTCCATGCTTTCTGGAAATGGCTCGCTCTCCTTACGGGATTGATTGTTAAATGACAGCATATGCTCTCCAGTCTGTTTAAGGAGCTATTTGCTTAGTTTTCACAGAGACATCTCTGTTCATAAAAAAGCCTAGAACGATTACCCCAGCATCACAAAAAAAACCCCAAACCCTAAGTGGGTTAAAAAACTCTCTGACAGCAAGAAGGGAGCCGAGGAGGAAGAGCTGCTTCCCTTTCCACTCTGCCACACGGGTCCAGTGTGAGGCGTCTGGAAACAGGAGCAGGCAAAGGGGGCACCGAGCGACCAACGACCCTCCCCCGTCTCCTTCAACCTCCACGACACGCCAAGAAAACACCATTTCCGAGCGCCAGGATTTGGGGACTCCGTAAGCAGCAGCACCTCCCACCCCACCACGGCCGTCCCGCTGAGGGCACACACGGAGGCAGCGAGAGGTGCGAGGACCCGAGCCAGTTCTCCGGCTCCACTCGGCGGCATCCCTCCCCCCCGCTCCGCCCGCTGCCATCGGGGCCTCGGGAAGGGAGATGCGGCCGGGACCGCGGGCGGCAGCCGGGCCGGAGGGAGCCCCTGCCCCGGACTCCAGCCGAAGACCCTAACCCGGGGTGGGGGTCTCCCACGGAGGGTGCAGCCCCTGCCCCGTCCCGGCAGCAGCCGCAGCCCTCGCCTGGGGCTGGCGAGGAGCTTTCGCTCCCCGCTTGCCCGGAGCGGCGAGAGGTCCCTTAGGCGGCCGGGGCTCGGCGGCGGGCTGCGGGAGGGCTGCCCGGCGGAAAAAACCCGCCGACCGGAGCCGGGTGTTTGTTTCCGAATACGAGGAATTCGAGCGCACCGGACTACAAACAGCGCGGTGCGTCTCCGCACGGCGCACGCCTTTCCCGCTCCGCTCAAGTAAAACTAAGTCTTAAATACTTTCCCCCAAGTAGAAACACGTCGGGCAAGCGCCACGGCTCTCGCCGTGGCTATTCCCGAATTCCTGTTCCTCCAGGACGGGCGACAGAGGCCGGCTGCCAGGCGCAAAGGCCGGCAGCGAACGCGGCTCCAGAAGCGGGGCCAGCTCGCCCCGGCAGGAGCCGGCCCGCCCGGTGGCGAGCTGCCAATGTTTACTGACCCCTCTCCGGGTCACCCTCCTCGGCGGCCAGACCGCGGGCTCTCCGCGGCTCTCCCGGCGGGGAGCGCACGCCGCCCCTGCGGGAACCGCGGGGCCTCGACCCCCCCCCCCCCCC